TGTTTCTGGCTCTATGGGAACATCAAAAAGAGTACTAGTTTTTACCGAAGCTCGTTGTTAATGATTTTTAGCGAAATTAACAATAAAATATGGTTTATAATAAATTATATAATACGGTAAAAGTGGTATATATGCTTATTTTTCTCACGATACGTAACAGCATGGTGTAAAAAGCACTTATTTGGTGAAATTTACTTCCAATTCTGTATTTTTTACCTAACATGTGTTAATAATTACTATAATTTAGGAAACCAGAATTTTCGGTAAACCGATACCATATAAATGGAAGAATTACCAACTGAATGGTTTATATTCCGAGTATAGTTCAAGTTTTTATTAACCAGAATTATGTATTTTCTCCCCAAATGTCATAATCATTCATAACGGAAAATTTACCAGCAATTCTTTTCTTCGTATAGTGTTTATATCAAATTTTATATGAGAATAATAAAAATTAAACATTGCAGAGAAAAACTTAAATATATTTTTGAACAATTAAAAATAAAACGAAACTACTAATAAGAAGGAAGTAACGCAGTTACATTGAAATGACGGATAAAGCTATTGCTTCCTTGAATTTAGATTATTTGCTACTACAAAAGACTGCTTAAGAATGATTAATCCTTTTTGAAAAAAAAATAATATTTTGTTGAAATTCCCAATTTGAGATCCTTAATGTACCTGAGATGACGTGCAAAAGTATCATAAAATAAACTAATTATTTTCAAACACATCTTTTAAATAACGGAGTTAAATTAAAATAACGTAAAAAGCATCGCGTAAAGAACACATAAAAAGTTAAAATGGCCAACTTCCGTAGTTGTATTAGAAAAACTGCTGCTATAGTACGCAAAACCGCTTCTTGTTTCATTTTTTTAAATAAATACTCTTTTTCATTCACTTTGTTTTCTTCGTTATTACAGCCAAGCACAAAAGATAATTCCACTGAAGGAAAATCTATAACAATAAAAATTAAATATTTGCGCGTGCATATGTCAGTGCGGTCCAGAACCGTTTGCATTAGCGTCCTGAGATTTAGGTAAAGACGGCAATGTAAAATATTCCGGATAAAATTACCGTAGAAAGTACCGGCACTCAGGGTGTCACCACTTTTTAGCGTGAAATCCATTGTTAACGGGGAAAAAATCTGATGCACCGCAATTTTTTATTTGATAATTAGAGTAACATCATTAAATCACTCCAATTAAATATATATAACTGTAAAAGTTGCTTAATATTTATTTAATTAGAGTGATTCAGTGATTATACTGAAAAAAATTGCGACGTAATATTTTACGGATGATGCTACATATACCGTAATTTGATTCAGAATTTTTTGGATCATATCAAGGAGCAATTTCAGCCACCGATCTTGAAAATAATAAAAACAATAAATTAATCCATTCGACAATGATTAAGGTTCAGCATCAGACAAATATTTAGCTGCATACACACAAAATCCGAATCAAACTATGGTAAGAAAAAAAAACTGACACCAAGTGTTGCAAGATCTGTAAAATCTATTTCACCGTTACATTTGCTTTTATCGTGAAATTTTTTACCATCATTTTTACAATATCATTTATTTATTTACAGTGATTCAGGGATTTTGCAGTAAATATTACTGTTAAAATTATGGCATGTCAGATGTTCGTTACTGTTTTTATTTGGTATTGCCTATACATTTTAAGGTAAAAACTGATTTCACTGTAAAAAGTACCGACAACAGGGTGCTAGTACTATTTACCGTAATTTGATTCTGAATGATTTACGGAGTTCTTTTTCCAGCTATGTAAAAGATAATATTAGTGACATACGATAGCTTATTATTCTGTAAAATAAAAAAAGAAATTTATTTAAAATTAGTCTTTTTTTGGTTAAATTATGAAAGCTCAAGGGTCAACGTAGATGGCACGTGAGGGCTACGTCACAGAATTATTTCGTTTATAGTTATGTTTGAAACGTGTTTATATAAAACTAAATAATTCAAAATTACGGTAAATGAAATAAATTAAAAATAGCTGCGAGCACTAGCCTTACGCAGAATGATTTGTTTTAATATTTATGTTGATGAGATGAAAATCTAAAACTTGTTTTTTTATAATATAATGACGTAAAGTAAGAAATAAAGAAAATTCATTTATTTAAGCTTTATTAATTATATATTTATTTTCTGACTCTTTATAAATCACCTACATATTTTACAGCTCTTTATATTATTAGAAAAATCTAATTTCCGAACATCTACTGTATCTACTGAATTGAAATTTCGTAAATTTTTTTTCCGACTGAATTTGCAATTTATTGCAGGAAAGTTTTTAAAAAAATTAATTTCTTTTTAGTGCTAGGCATTTTTTAAAATTTTTGGCAATACATTTTCGCTACAGTTTAGGTATTTGTCTTTGTGAAAAGAGAAATTGTATTGACTTTCAAAAAATTATTCTCTATTTAATATCTGAAGAGTGAAATTTTAATAAAACAGACCCCTTTTTTAAAAAAAAATCATAACTACTAATTTATTGAGTTTTGAAAAAATTCTATTTTTAATGAAATAAAAAGGGTAATTAAGCTGTTAATGAAAAGGTATAAAATCAATCGTACTTGTGTATCATTTAATTTTCAATTTTCTCTATATTTCATTAATTTAATAAAATATTTCATTAAATCATTATTTTATTATGTGTAGATATGTATGTAAGAATATTTAAATTTTATTTTGAAATTTCAGATATTTTTAAAGTTTTACAGCTTTTTAGAATTAAAAAAATAAATATTTTAAATTAGGCGAACACCCCACAAAGTTTTGAATCGATTATTTTGTGTAAAATTTTTTATCGTTGTTGATACTACAGTACAAGGTTCAAAACTATGTAAAGAATGAATTAAAACTTTTGAAGCATAATTATATAAAAAATACCTGAATTAAATATTTGCTTTTCAGTTTTTGTAATGTAAATAAAGTTGACTATCTGCTTGAATATGTTAAAGTTTTTAAACTAATTAAAGTAACTAGTATTACTTTAGAAAAAGATATGGTTCTTAATAAAATTGTTTGGAAAGAGAAAAAAAAATTCAACTCAAAGGCTCTCTTTTGAAAAGGTTAAGTTTATATATATATAGATATATTTTTTTTATCAAATGCGGTCAAGCGTAATTTTGTAGAAAGAAGCCTTTCTGGTGCTAGAAAGGAAAGAAAACTTAAAAGGTTTCAGTTACTATGATCTGAACTTTTATCACCTCGATGTGTAAAGTATTCTTGAAAAAGTATGGGTTTACTGAATCGATTTTGCATTATTTTTCTTGTCTATAACCCTATAGTCATTAAAAATTTGTTAAGAGAAATTCCAGCATTTGTTCATAGTTTAAGCTTTAAATTTCTGTTTTAAGTATTTAAAACTGAATATGTTTTTTTAAAAATGTTAATTTGAGTATATAAGTTTTATTTGTTAATCAGTTAATGAAAGTAAAGTTTTCTAAAAATAAAAATAAAAATATATAACAAAATTCAACTTAAAACTACAGAACTTTCATTTCTTTAAATTTAATAACATATAAATTAANAAATTTCTGTTTTAAGTATTTAAAACTGAATATGTTTTTTTAAAAATGTTAATTTGAGTATATAAGTTTTATTTGTTAATCAGTTAATGAAAGTAAAGTTTTCTAAAAATAAAAATAAAAATATATAACAAAATTCAACTTAAAAATACAGAACTTTCATTTCTTTAAATTTAATAATATATAAATTAAAGTAAATTTACAAAATAAATAAATCTTTATTCTTAAAAAATTGTTTTTTTATGTGGCTTTCAAGCATGACTTACGGCGCATCGTATTTTTGTGTCGAAGTAGCAAATGTAATATCTTGGTATATAGAGAAAAAAAATCTAGTTCCGTACGAAATAATATATATATATATAAGCTAAAATATTGAGAAAATACGGACAAGAGAGGAAAATCGATAAAAAATTTAAAAAAATATAATTTTGTACTGTCTAAAGAAAAAGAAAAAAAAACTTAAAAAACCGGAAAACAAAACAAAGAGATTATATAATCTCTTCATCAGCCCACACGATTATATCCTCAAAAAGAAGTGCTTTCTAATATTGTATTAATATAGCCAAAGCAATCTTTATCAATACAATAGTGTGAGGAGCACTTAAAAAAATTTAAACGAAATTGGAACACATTAAGTAAAAAATATTTACGAAAAAACAAACAAATATATCAAGCAAAAAACAGAAAATAAAATGTAAAGAGATTAGAGAACAGTACACGAAAGGAAATCTACATAGTGAGGAGCGAATTAAAATGAACTTACGCGTACCGGAATCTTTCAAGAATAATTAAAAATATTTTCGTAAAAAGATTGCCAGATTACAAAATATGAAAACAGAATCATAAAAAAAGTGATATCTTATGGCACGTTCTTACTGCAATACCGAAGCGCGTCTAATTTGTTAATTACGTTGGATGGGCCCGAAAATTGATGTGCGCGGGGTAATAATATTATACAGAATAATTTAAAGGTTTGTAATTAATAAGTTTGATAATTCTAATAATTTTAGAAAATTAATAATTGTTTTAAAAAAAACAGGATTTGCTGGTTTTGCATTGATTTTAACAGGCGCCAAATTATTATTATTGCTGAAATCCAAAAATTAAGCTCGAAGAGCAATGCCCTAAACACACGAAATGAGAAAACCGAATTAAAAACGGAAACAAAAAGAAAACGAAAGTAAGTTAATAGTGGATATTATCAAGCGCTAAAGCTGCACTAAAAAAAACCATAAAAAAAGGACAAAAAATGTTAAAAATTTTTTTCCCTTTTTTTCCGGGTTTTTATTTTTATTTTTATTTTTTTTCTTTTATTATTATTTTTCTTTTTTCCCCTTTTTTCATTCTTCGGTAATTTTTCCCTTGTTGTGTCCACATTTTGAACTTATATATACATATATATATATAATTTTGCTAAATAAATTTTTTTGCTTGTTTTTCAGTATTAAGATTGACCTTAAAAATGGCTGGATTTAAGAAAAACTCTAACATGCTTATTGAGAAACATTTATAGTGCAGTGTAAGTAGAGCTTTTTTTAATTATTATTCTTAAAAGATTTAAAAAATATATATTTCTGTTTCAGTTTCGCCTTAATTTTTTTAAGATTTCTTAAGTGTGTACAATGCGATTTAAACATAGTAAAGTATTGTTGATTTCAAACTTTTCATTCAAGTGCTTCGGTTGATGAGTGGACAACAAGATTGTAGTTTTACTGTTTCATATTTTGAACAAATTTAAATAGGTTCTACATAAATACATTCATTGAAAATTTATGTTAGTGTTTCTACACTGGTGTGCAAAACTTAAGCAACAAGAGCATTTTCTGTCATAACTCTACAAGAAATCATCCGATTGACATGAAATTTGAATATGATGTACATTATTTTGTACTTAAACGATGGTAAAAGAATAATGGCGCAGAAATGAATATAAAGCTTAAAGTAGGGTATGGAACAAAAAAAGGCTTTATTTGACATATAGTGGCGTTACACATGATTGCCTGAAGAAGCGTAAGTACAACTGGCAGATGTTCCCTAGTATGGGATATGCCCTCCCCTTACTGTAATTGTTGCTTGGCATCGTCTCTCCATGCTAAGCACCAGATTATCCAGGAGTTCTTGGGGTAAACGTCTCCATTCCTCCTTTAACGCATCTTTCAGCTGATGGGTGTTACCAGGAGGATACTGTCGTGTCGCAAGACGTCTCCCTAATGCATCCCACACATGCTCTATGGGATTTAGATCTGGAGAGTAAGCTGGCCAATCCATTCGTGTGATATCTTCACTTTCCAGTAGCTCTTGAACATTAGCAGTACGGTGTGGCCGGGCATTGTCATCCATAAAAATGAAGTCTGGTCCAATGGCCCCTCGGAACAGACGCACATGGGGTAGGATTACCTCATTGCAGTAGCGGTCTCCAGTTACAGAACCTCGGTCGAATATCTGAAGCTCAGTCCGCCCGTTCAACATAATGCCACCCCAGACGGCAACTCCAGGACCACCCGTAACGATCTCTTTCCGCGATGTTATTGGGATGAAATCGAGCTTCAACCTCTCTCCAGATCAACTGACGTTGAGAATCGCTTGTAGCACTAAAACGACTCTCATCTGTGAAGAGGACGCGACTCCATTGATGAGCTGTCCAGTTTTCGTGCTCTCTGCACCACTCTAAATTGTGCCGCCGATGGCTAACTTTCAAAGGTATGCAGCGTTCAGGACGTCTAGCAAATAAGCCACCTTTGTGGAGGCGTCTGGCCACTTTAAATCTTGATACTTGTCGTCCTGTGGCTGAGCACAGTTGCTGAGATATGGCGCTCGCTGACTGAAAACGGTTTCTTTTCGCCTGGAGGACAATGTAACGGTCATCTATTGGTGTTGTTTTCTTGGATGGTCACCACCAACCTTCCGAACAGCTGTACCAGTAGTTTTAAAGGCATTCCAAGCACGAGAAACAACACTTTTCTTGATACCGAACTCTTCGGTGACACTGGTCACACTACGCCCCTCCTCAAGCTTCCCAATCATTCTTCCTCGAGTAAAGTCGTCTAAATGATTTCTTGGAGACATGTTTCACAAAACAAATCACTTGCACTTGCAGCGAATGCCTTTAACTACGGTGCTCTTCATCCTTTAGTCACAGCTTTGACCTGCGCCCGCCGACCCACAAGGTTTACGTACACTTACATCACCTACGACGTTTTGTTTCTAAAATTTGCATACAAATAATCTTTCTACTGAGTTGCGTGCATATTATACTGCAATTTCATGGCTATCTTATACTTTGTTGGGGAGCTGTGGCCGAAAAACCACTTGTTGCTTAAGTTTTGCACACCAGTGTATTAGTACCCATCCCATTACATGGAGCAATAAAATATCGATGAAGTTTATTCACTATATTTCGTATTTGTTTGATTAATTATTTCTGACTAACAAATAAAATATTGGAAAAGTGAAGAAAAAAAAATTAAAAACAACAACAAACTGTAACTAAATTTGTGAAAATTGTAAAACAAAGTGATATAAATGTTTCACTTAAAAGGCGAGAACAAAAAATTTAAGTATATAGATATTTTTTGATTAAAAATGTTTATAATTCAAATCACTTTCAATTTAATGATTACCACTAGAAAGACTAAATTTTACTGTATGCCTAGAAAGTCAAAAAGGGTTAGTCTGGCTCTCCCCAGATTGTTTGTAGGTTGATCCTAAATCTTAAAACATTATCATAATTAATTTAATAAGACATATATTAGAGACTCGGTATTCAAAATTTTATACTATTTTATTCGATTTGATTAACGAAGATTTTTGTTTAAACGGAACAATGTCAATTATACTAATTCATTAGTTTCTTAGATAACTGAGTTTCCTTTTTCTATATATAATAATATAAAATACATTGAAATACTCTTGTTTTTTAATCAGATTGAGTTATCTTATACCTACTAAGAAGTACCTTATACCAAAACCTACCTGAAGTTATAGGGTACCTATTAAAATACCTTACGAGGAACACTTAAGGCTTTGTAAGGCTAACACCTGAATGATTTTAAACTGCTCAAAATATGAAAAATCTTAAATAATCAATATTTTCAGTGAGTTATTTTTTGAATTACAGAGCAATGAAAAACGAGTAGAGCCAAATTAACCCCAGCCGTCTGTCTAAAATGATTTCAGTTTAATGATTACATTATATAAAATTGCTTTAATGTTTGATTAAGGAATTAATAGAATTGAAACGATTGAATAAAATGGAGGATATAATATAATCAATTCATTTTTCTATCAATCAAAGAAACTTTTTTTTCTTCCAATGCCCACCTGTGTTAACATCCGTCAATGCTGGCATATACAGGGCGATTTTGTTGGCTTCTCTTCAGGGGCACCATATTAGGTTGGCCAACGTCGCTCTTGTGAGGTCCAGTGAGGACAGATAGTACGGAGAAGGAAAGAACATCCATGCCTTGCCCGGCATTCAAGCCCAGAACCTTTCTGATGCAAGAGCAGTTCCATAACCCCTACACAAGCCGGTCGGCATCAGAGACGCTATTTGGTATTAGCAGGGTTACTTTTACTAAATGAACAATATGAATGAAATATAAATTTAAAAAAAGAACAATAAATAAAAAAAAAGTCTTATATAAAATTGACGGGAAAAAATGCGATGGAGTTTTCTTTTGAGGAAGGGGAATATCATAATATTAAAAAGCAATATGCCCCTGTGTATAAGTTCTGTGTCTATAAGCTGTGTATAAGTAGCACTTAGTTATGAAGTAGAGATTTGAGATCTCACTAGGAAATCTATATAAAGCTTTAGAACAACAAAAAATACGGGAAGCTGTTTATTCTCTTTTACGATAAGAGACTGCGAGGGTATATCAACAAACAAATGTTTTAGATAGCATTTGTAGAATTAAACACCTTAAGTTGCATTGGGTTAGACATATAGATTGAATAACAGATACATATGAACCCTTCATGACAACATGAGGTCAAGGAAGTGATCATAAAGAAGGTGGTTTGAGGAACTTAGAAAAGTAGAAGGTTTGACTTGGAAGACAAGTGACTTGGAGAGGAAAATTAATTTTAAGCATTTGAAAAGACAAAATATAGTCTTTTCAGTATTTGAATACTAAACTGGCAAAGCGGTTTCAGACAGGATTGCCTATATTTTTAAATAAAATTTCTAGTTAAAAATGGAGAACTTAGATGAAACGGTTGGTTAAAAATAGAAATTAAACATAGAAGACAAATTAACTAAAGTAAAGCTGAAGCTTTTGGAGTTGCTGAAGTAAATTCGGCGAAGAAAAACAAGCACAGAATTTATAAAATTTCGGGTATAATCAATTTTATGAATTTCCAAAGGGGAAGATGAGCTGCACTTTAATAAGCTGCAGTAAATTCTTTAACTTAATAGCTGCAGTAAAAACTGTCTAACGATAAATACAGATTTTATTTTGGTTTTTAATTGTAACTCTCGTGTTGCAAAAAAATGTCTGTTTTTTTTACAAACTTTCTCCTTATACTTAACTGTTTAAAAATGTTTTTTACTAAACAGTTCTTTTTCTCAGTAATAATAAACCTCTTTTAACTATCAATTCAAATTCCAGTTTTTGCTATGATAAGTTTTACTTACTATAAGATAATTTTTCCTTTTTTTCAAATCATTTTAGGATTATTTTCCACATTTTCTCTTACTTTTAGTTCACGGCTTTGAACATCGCATAAATAATATTGCTATCGGAATTCATTGTCGAACTGTACATGATTCTAATTGTACTTCATGGTACATGATTATTATCTGTATTTATAATTTTTCGGTAAGTTAAATAGCTTTTAAGATAAGGATAGTTTAAGATTTTTTTTTGTAAACAAGCTCTATGTCTGCCGTGGCTCCGGAGATTGAGAGTCCGCATTCTAATGGGGTGATCTGGGTTCGAATGTCAATGTTGAATGGTCATGCGGATTCTGCTTTCGGCTAGCAACCTCTAATGCTGACATAGTTATTTTAAAATATTTTTTGTCAAAATAAAGGAACTGTTGTTGTTAAAATGAGAGAGCTTGTTTGTTAAAAAGACTCTATTTATTTGCCAAAAAACTGGTGAATATTTTTAAATAGCAGTAGGAGTGAACTAAGCAACTAAAATAAGTAAAGAAACAGAAAATAAATTAACTGAAATACATATATAATATTATTGCGATGCATTAGAAGTTTGTTAATTTTAGATAGCAACTCGTTTACTTTAGATAGTTTGATTAACTCAATTGTAAACTTCGAAATTTACGAGTCATGTTAGCTTTTAATTATTAATCAATTCAAAGAACCAAATTTTATTTAAATTTGAGTTCATTATTCCCAAAGTAAATAAAGCCGAAAGCATAGACATAATCTTTTCCATATATTAGGAAAATAATTACTCTAAAGACACAGAAAGTCATTTATTATCTTAATTATTTACATTTATTACTAGAATTACGCTATATTTATATGAAATTTCAAAGTTCTTATCTCTAGTCTTC